CCTGCTTTGTACCAGCTTAATGCAAACAGAAGCCCAAGTGGTCTGAGAGTGAAAACAAGCAGGCTGAATAGCACAGATTTATGAGAGATTTTCAGAAACTTCATGGGAATGCACATTATAAAAAAGTGAGGCATGGGCTTCAAATTTGTTTGCACCAAAATAAGTTCATACTTTAATTCCAGTTTTGCACAAACCTTTCGAAGACCCCTTGGACAAAAGTTCTAGATCAGGAAGATCTGTTCAAAGCCTGGTTCTACTTCCTAGAAAATAATTTTACTTTTGTGGACCCAGTTTCTTTGTCTGGAAAATAAGAATAATAGTTGCTGAGACCTCAGAGAGCTATTATAAAGATTGAAGAGTGACAGGTAATGACTAGGAAGTCTTTTGCACTGTGCCTAGCCACACAGGTCATGCTCAGTACATAGAAGCTATTATTGATATTTTTATCACCCATGGTAACCAAGACCCTGTCACCCATTCTTTTCTTTCTTCCTAGTCCTACACAGATGTCCAGGTTTGCCTCAGTTTGAGTGCCCTCCATAACCTTTCCTGGCTATGACAAGCCACATGACACTGGGGCAACCATATGGGAAGTGTTCTCACTTCCGTTAAAAACTCAAGTTCGGGAGCTTTGGGATTGGATCTCAGCTCTGCCACTTACTACCTCTGTGACTTCTTGTGGTTGCTTAACTTCTCTAAGTGCCTATTGCCTTGTCATTCAAATAGGGATGACAATAGACCCACCTCATTGGGTTATTGTGGCAATTGGGTAAGATTGTGCATATAAATAAAGAAGCAGCAGGGCCAGCAGGTGGCATGGTGGTTAAGGTGCTGGACATTCACATGTTTGACTGTGGTTTAAGTCCTGGACCTGGTGGCTTGAAACTCATGTTGGACATATACATGCGCATGCCAAAAATCTCAGAATGGAAGAGAAGAGATTGCAGCATGGCCGTTCCCTTTGGAGAGTGATTTCTCATTTTCACTTTCTCTTTCTCTTCCTCTTCCTCTTCTTCTTCCTCTTCCTCTTCCTCTTCCACTGTCTCTGTCTGGCTTTCTCTCTCCAGCAAGTACACATGCTTTATGGCAAAAACCTAAAATTAAGAATAAGAAAAAAAAAAGCAGCTTAGGACAAAAGTGCCTATTATTTTCCCCCAGAAGATAGTACATCAATGGAAACTATGTGCATATGTATATGACCGTGTATGATTTTCTAAGCAGGAGACAAGCTAAGCTGAATGTCCAACAGAATAGGTGTGAATTTCTGGGTTTAGCCCTTTCTGATGATAATCAGTAAGTTCTGGGAAAAAAATCTAAGGATCTGACATCAGGGGCTACTAGGTGTTGGCAACTCTAGGAAAGTTCTTGGATTATATGTTCCAATCACTCTACACTTCATTTTCCCTTTTGATGTCCTCCTGTTGGTCTTTTTTTTTTTTGAATTGCCAACTCCTCTGTCTCTACTCTCTGTGCATTTGCTGAAGTCTTGAGATCAGAGATATTTTTATGCTGCTTTGAATTCATTTATAAGAGGAAGCCTGTCTGGTTTCATCTCAGAGCATCTATTCATCTTGTTATTTAGCACTGACTCAGAGACCCAAAGATGGAGGGTTTTGATAATTAAGTAATTTAAACGGAACACCAAAGAAACCTCAGTGGAGTTTAGTATAATGTGTGATACAAGGGAAATGAGCTGGTCTAGGTTTTGACTACTTAATGAGCTTTCGGAAAGTAATTACTTGAAACTTGGGCCCATTTGACTAATACTTTTTCTTCTGTTTTGTCATATTCACAAGTGCTCTCCTGAAAAATGCAAATAGTCTGAATATATATGGCCTTTGCCTTGGTCAAACTACTGTTTTCTTGTTGTGAAAAAAAAGGGAGTTTGTAGATATTGAAACTGTTCTTATTTACTGCACCAATAATTGCATAAAACTCATTCTTGAACCAAAACAGATCATGTGACACTTCCAGCTTGAAGTTCAGGGCCTCATTCAGGCTTTGGTTTGATTGAACCATAAGAGAGTTCACTCTGAGGTGGGCAGCAGGTACTGTTTTTGGGTCCTCTACTATAAAGACTTGGCTGGGAAATAGTTGCTGGGGCGAAAAGCAGAAAATAAAAATTAGTTGAGGTTTTTCATTGTGATTTCTTTCCTAATTCACTCAAGTAATGGTTTCTGAGTGTCTCACATTTCCTCTTTTGAAATTCATTCAATCAACACTTTTCTTTTTCTTGAAGCTGATGACCAAACACCCAGGCAAACGATTGGGTTGCGGACCTGAAGGTGAACGTGACATCAAAGAGCACGCATTTTTCCGGTATATCGACTGGGAGAAACTTGAACGCAAAGAGATTCAGCCTCCGTATAAGCCAAAAGCTGTAAGTAAACTGCTCCCTCTGACTGTCAGGGACCCATCACAACTCTCTCTCTCTCGCCTACTGTGTGTCCTCTGAATGCTCTCAGAGGGACACACACTGATGGGTCTACTCTAATACGTCTGTATGTGTTCATATCCATGCCCAAAGTCACTGGGTATACATGTGAAGATTTCCATTCACACAGCCTGGCCGCTGAACAGCCAGGAAAGAAAACTGATGCTGAGTTTTTGTTTTATCCATTCAGTTATTGTAACTGTCTTGGCTGACAACTTTTGAGAATGGTTTTTGGTAAACAGAGTTCAGATCCATTTTTGGACCGTGATAAAGAATCTAATTTTGCCCTCGTTCTTTCTCTCTGGTTCAACGGTGTCATTTTCTCTTCATACCGACATTGAAAAGGTCATGTTGTTTATCTCGACGGTATTTAAATTTAATTCTGAAACATACTCCAAGTCTGAGTCAGTAAATAAGACAGCAGTGCACCAAGCCAGCTCCCACCCAAGGCGAAGCAGAATGAAGCAAAAGCTGACATGCTTCTGAACCATAGACCTCCTGGAGGCTTTGGGTGTAGACATGGCTTTGAGATAACTTTTATAATGCAAGAATAAAAGTCTTGCATCCCTCACAGTTTTGTGCCCATGAGAGGATTTTTTATCCCCCAAAGACTCAGCAAAAAATACTTGTCAGCATCAAGGAGGAGGAGTTTGCACTTGAATTAATTGAAACTGCAATTGTACTGTGAGGATATATATGTTTTAATTAAGTAGAGTGCAGACATGGTGACATTATTATGGGTTGTAAAATACCAAATGAGGCTGAAAAGTGAACATAAACATTGTCACTGAAACCCAAGGATGTAAAGGTCCCATGCTAAGGTGAAAAATGTGATAAGGGTAGTTATTTTGACAGTCTTATTATCAATGTCTTGAACATTTATTATGTGCTAGGCACCATGTGAAGCACTTCACCTGCAGCACCTATGTAAATCCTCACAGCAGCCTGTTACGCAGATACTATTATTCCATGTCATGGAAGAGGCAATGGCGGTCAGAGAGTTTAAATGCCCTGTCCATGGTACTTGGCCAGCATATAATGATGTGAGGATGCAAACCCATGACAGTCTGACTCAATGAAGGCCTACCAGAATGGACAGGAGCAAAGGACCAAGTGTTTTGTAAAAGTGCCCAACTATTTTTGCCCCTGGAAGATGGCACATCAGTGGAAGTATGTGCGTATGTGTGTGACCGTGTATCATCTCGTAAGCAGGAGACAAGCTAAGCTGAATGTCCAACAGAATAGGTGTGAATTTCTGGTTTTTAGCCCTTTCCAATAATCAGCAAGTCCTGGGGGAAATCTAAGGATCTGACATCAGGGGCTACTAGGTGTTGTCAGCTCTGGGAAGGATCTTGGATTATATGTTCCATTCACTTTATTTTTCCTTTTGATGTCCTTTTGTTGGTCTCCCAGGTGATTCTCACATCTCCCTAGTGTCCACCTCATCCCTAATGGTTAGGATCACAATTCTTTGGCATCCCTAATGAGTTTTCTTTCTCTGTGGATACTCCGGGTGTCAGGAAGCCACCCAGCAAATAGGTTAGAGGCAGCTAGTTCTACTTTGTGGCCCTTCTAATTGTTGAAGACTTGTGACTTGATACTGAACAGCCTCCCCAGCACTGTCATCAGAACCTCTCCCCGGAGAGCACCTGCAGATGCTGGCTTGTGCTGTTGAGCCCGGGGTTCCCAGGGTAACTCCTGTTCTGACCCTCTCTATAAGCATGGTCCATATGACATCTCTTCAGACATCCATTATCCTCCAAGTTATCAACATGCCTCTTAAAAAACAAACACAGAATTGAGCACAAACAATATTCCCAATAGTATCTGACCTTCAGAGAATATAAACAACCTCACAAGTTTTCTAGAGCTGGCGAACTTGGACAAGTCAGTTCTTCTCTCTTCCCTCATTATTTCATCATCTGTAATACAACGAGAATAATAGTTTCTACATCAGTGGATCCTTATGCTACCTAAAGCACTAAGCTGGGTACTCAGTACGTTGAAGACATGCAGAGAGAGTTGACTGCTATTTGAGTGTGTCATGAGTTAATTAATGCCTTGGCTGCAAGGTCTTTGACAGCAGGATGTATCAGTTCTACCAATACTATTTCTTAAAATAGTGTCTGTATGTATATTTGAGTTTGGGGAGAGCCCTGCATGTAAGAGATGGTATTACCATGTTTACTGGATCATTTGGAAAAAGATTTTAAAAAGTAATGTTAAGAGGAGTTGGCTCTTGGGAACCAGCAGTTAGCGTAATGGCTATGTCGCTGGACTCCCACGTAGTCGACCGCGGTTCGTGTCCCGGACCTGGTGGCTTAAAACTCACGCCGGGCGCGTGTGCGTGCGTGCCCAAGATCCCGAGAGGAGAATGGAGGAGAAGGGACTGCGGTGTGACCATCCCCCCTGGGGGGTGACTTCTCGCTTTCTGTCTCTATGTCTCTCTCTGTCTGTCTGGCGAGCGCACGCGCCCTACAGTGAAAATCTCTCAAAAAAAAAAAAAATGTAATCTGTAAGAGGAGTTGGCTCTTTATTCAGGACCCCAGGAACTCATAGGAGTGATGTACAACCCATCTGGGTTTTATGCAGCTATTTATGAAGTCCAGAATGGAGTTTTCCTCTTCTCACTTGGCCAAAGGAAAGATGCTCATGTTCCCATCCCATCAGCCCAGAACCCAGGGGATAGCTGGAGTTCATATTAGAGCAGAGCCGTGGTCTCCCGTGTGTAGTCCCAAGACCAGCAATGTCAACATCACCTGGGAACTTTAGAAATTAAGTTCTCAGGCCCCACCCCAAATGCTTCTGTATTTAATAAGACTTCCAAGAGATTCAATGCATGCTCAAGGCTGAGAATCACTCCTGTCAAGTTTCACAAGAAAAGCTATGGCAGGGAAACAAGGCAGAGGCTAGAGGAAGGTGAGACTAATCTCTTTTAGTGGAAGACACTGGTTCTGCTTTCAGTCAGGATGTGGAATAGTGGCCTCCAGAACAAGTCACTGACTCAGATGTCTGCAGAGACCAGGAAGGAATGGTGAAGGGCAGTGATGAAGCAGAAGAGAAAGTGGTAGGGACAGAGATGGACTGGAGGGCAAGTGAGCCATCTAACTGTCTCTGCTTATGGGGATGGACAGCATCACAACAGTAAAATGATACTCTGCAAGGCTGATCCACGTAGGAGGGCTTTGGGTTCACATTCAGAGACCTCCCTGACTATGTTGGACATCCATGTGTCCATAATCCAGAACAGGCTGAAGCTGGCAGTGGATTATAGATTAATACCCAGTTGGGGGTGCTGTCTCTCTCTGTCTTTGACTCTCTCAGCCATGCATTTGTCTCTCTCACTCATGGAAGAGATAAATATATTTTAAAATAATTAATAGTAATTTTGTTAAAAGGCTCAGCTCATAGTCATCTCCAGGTGATCTGTCTGTAGAATGCAGGCTCAGCGTGGCTCCATTTTCATGGTTTTCATAAAAAGCTGGAAATTAGGATTTTTTAGTGAAATCTCAGCATTTTTTTGATACGTCAACAACAAATTTTTAAAAACTAAACACTGTTCAGGGCAAATGAAGCACATCTGTGACCTATATATGTCCCACAGACCGTCAGTGTGTAACCTGTGGGGTAGTGAGGACTCAAAGTCAGGTTGACATTTAGCCAGTACCTGTTAGTACTAGTTATTTACAACCAGAGTGTATTCTGGCTGGATAAGTACTTTTAATATCCCTACTAAGCACGAATGAATATAGAAGGGCTAGACCAGTGCCTGACTCATAGTAGACACTCAGGAAAAGAGAGCTGTTATCATTGATCATATTAAAAGATTACAATAATTAGCAAATACCAACAAGATCCTTCCATTGTTATGCACTTGATGGAATTTCCAACAGACCAAAGTCTTGAATTTCCTTACTTGGGTTTAACAATGACTTCAAAGTACAGTGACTGGTCTGGGCTATATACCTCAAGATGTTATGGCACCAGCTCTAAGGGAAGCAGGCCCTGCCCTTGGTATTTTTAAACAACACTAGAAATGATAACAATGGCTGCCCCAGCTATCCATTTGACTCAACCATGCACCTAGGCCTTTGATGTTGCAAATGCAGGCTCTAGAGCCCCCAACTCCATCCCAGGATTTTATTTTCCTCTTCTGCACCCCTTCTTATCAGTCTGCCACTTCAGAAAGGCCTGTGGGGAGTGTGTGCAGGCTTCCATGTATCTTGTAGGATATTAAAAAGGCATGCATGTACCTGTCAGCGTTCCTGATTCATGCATGCTATTAAATAGAGTGCGGCAAGAGAAAACACAGGGGCAATAACAGAATTATATTCAAACATCAGTGAAGGTTGCTATTATTGGATTTTCATTAAAATAACTTTAAATGGGGTTTTTAAGTTGTTCTCAGTGCCATCTTTTATTGTGGCAAGGAATAGCTTGCAGAGCATTGTTTGAAATTGTACTGAAATACACCAGCTTTGGTGTATTGTTATGGGGCACACCAGTAATTGTTTCCGATGTGTATCTTGTTGCTTAAAAGGCCCCTGGGCTCTCTGTTGCCCCAGGATAGTATCTCTTGGTCTTTAGCACATACATGGATTATGAAGTCTTCCAAGACCAGGTCTCTGTGTCCTCCCTAGCTTTAACTCGTAATTCCAAGAACTGGCATCCCTGGCTTCTTTAATTCCCTTGCACATGCAGTGCCTTCTCTTCCTTTGCGAGCATCATCCATGACTATCTACCTGGAATGGCTGAGCCCTTTCCCATGCTCCCCAGCCCTCCCACCCAGGTGCCTTCCCCTCTCCTCTTCATCAGATCTTTAGAATGTCACCCTCCCAAGGAAGCTCTTGGTTCCTGAGTAGGATCTGCTATTGGTCTATCAACCAATTCTGTATATGTTGTAATTACCTTCTCAAAATAATCTCTCTTGTTTTTAAAGTTTATTT